GAAGGGACCTGGTCTTTTTATTTGTTCATTTGTTTGTTTTTCAAGACAGGGTTTCTCTGTGTAACATTCCTGGCCGTCTTGGAACTTGCTCTGTAGACCAGGCTGGCCTCAAACTCACAGAGATCTGCCTGCCTCTGCCTCCCAAGTGCTGAGATTAAAGGCGTGCGCCGCTACCTGCTGGGACCTAGTCTTAAAATACAAACAAGGGGAAGGGCTCAAGGCCTACCTCCCCCAAAACCTATGTACAGATAATGGTTGCTGGGAGAGGAAGACATTTCCTTCAGTTGTATAGCCACAGGTAAGTTGTCCACACACCAGTAAATAACCCCTAAGCCATGCTCCTGTAATTGTAATTAAACCCACGGGGTCCCCAAAAAGACATCAAAGTAGGACTAGTTGCTAAGTAGAAGGGGGATCAGCAGGAGTCAGAAGGAAACAAGGGGGGATAAAGGGGATGAATATGATCAAACATATATGCATATGAAACCCATTGTTGCATACAATTAATATAGAATAATGAAAATTTTTTTAAGTTGGGGCAGGAGATACAGCTTAGCAGCTAAGAATACTGACTGCTCTTCCAGGGGATCTGAGGTTCAATTCCCAGTACCCACATAGCAGCTTTGGACCATCTATTAATTCCGGGGAATCTAATGCCCTCATCTGGCCTCCTTAGGCACTGCACACACATGATACACAAACATACACGTAGGCCAAACAGCCAAACACACAAAACTTTACAATGGTGTGTAGGGGTACCTACGTGTAACAGCAATACTTGAGGTTGAGGCAAGAGGATCAGGCACTCAAGAATAGCTTTAGCTAAAGTCAAAGCCAGGCTGGACTATAAAACACTGTCTCAAAAAATGAAATGAAAATTTCAGCTGGGCAGTGGTGGTAGAGGCAGAGGCAGGCAGATCTCTGTGAGTTCGAGATCAGTCTGGACTACAGAGTGAGTGTCAGGACAACCAGGGCTACAGAGAGAAACCCTGTCTCAAAAAAACAAACAAAAGAAATAAAGAAAGAAAATTTCGGCTAGGTCATACAGGGATAACAAAAAGTCAAAATGGGATGAAATATACCTGTTTTGGAAATTATCTGGCTTGCACTAAAAAAAAGAAAGGAAGGAGGGAGGGAGGGAGGGAGGGAGGGAGGGAGGGAGGGAGGGAGGGAACAACTGAAAGACATCCGAGGCCCAGGGATGTCAACTGGTAGTGTCTGTCTTGCAAATCTGGTAAGAGTTTGGCCCCCAGAACACACACAACAACTGGAAGGAAGAACTTACTTCACAAGTTGTCCTCTGATAGCCACAGACTGTGACATGCACCACCCCACATGGATCACCTCCACAACAATAACAAATAAATTACAATTTAAAGCATTTATAATTAAGGTTTTTTTTAATAATTTAGCTTACAGCCCAAAACAAAAAGAACTTATTACTTATTAAACAGCTTACTTTTCCCCACAACCCTGGAGTAAGAAGTCCCAAAAGCACAAGAGAACCTAAAATAAAAAGGAGCTGCCCTCCTCTTCCTCCCCACCCAACCCCTGGGGGTTACCCTGATGATCTCTATGGACCCTGTGAGCATGAGTATTTATCATACTACACACCTTGCTTCTTTCTTACTCTACAAGACCTGAGAAAACACTCCATTCTTTCAGTACACATCCAAACAAATATGAGAAAGACGAGCACAAAGCCATCACTCAGCTGTGTGGACGCACCTACAAAACCTAAGAAAAACACCATTCAACAATGTACTGTGAGGGCAAAATAGGAGAGGAAGCTGAGCCATCAGGTTTCTTTGCCCAGTTTTAGAAATCTAGGCACAGTAAAATGTGATTCTTAGGTGTCCCTTGGTATGGTGCTGGGTCCCGAAGGCTTAAAGTCAGGATGAGTTCAGACTTGCTGTGATGACAGAAGGGCAGGGAACAGATGGGGTGAAGACGCTGTGTGTGCACAAGTGTTTGGATGTGTGTGTGTAAATGCTCTGTTACATATGCATGGAGGTAGGAGCACAAGCTGTGGAAGTTGGCTCTCTCCTGTGTGGGTCACAGGATGAAACTCAGGTCAGGCTGTCAGGTGTGGCAGCAAGCACCTGTATTCGCTGTGCCATCTCAGCAGCTCAGATAAGGCAAATTTTTAAAAAATATTTTGATTATTTATTATTTTTATATGTACTGGTGTTTTGGCTGCATGTATGAGGACTGAAGAAGGCATACGATCCCCTGCAACTGGAGTTCAAGATGGTTGTAAACTGTCTTGTAAGTGCTGGGAATTGAACGTAGGTCCTTGGGAAGAGGAACCAGTGCTCTTAACCAAACCATCTCTCCAGCCCTTGGGAAAGGTATTTAAACAGCCCATGTCAACAAATGGTCAAAGTGGGGTGAGACTAGGGAAAGAAGGCCTTATCGCTGAGTCCCAGGGCTTCTGAGCAAACTGGAGTGAGGAGAGGGACAGGATGCTGGTAGGAGCAATGAGGAGGTAGAACATACCTTGAACAGCTCAGAGAATGGGGACAAAGCTAAGTCAAATGTTGGCAGCCGGACTCCACAAAGTAGTCCTCTGACCTTCACAGGTGCACTGTGGTGTGCAGATACACACACACCCCACACACACATACACACAATAATACTAACAGGAAAACATAAAAGTAGAGTGTGACCAAGGAAAGACATGCCCACCCTGAACTTCCACATGCACACTCCTAAACACCTGCGCGTATACACACAAATGCACTGCCCAACACCAATGATGCCATACACACAACGCTAAACGCTGCCTGAGTCCACTGCCATGAAACACCCAGAACAGATACATCTCAAACAGAAAGCAGCTGGCACTGCCAGATATTAAGGGCAGGGTAAACAGAGTGACAGCATAATGGATACGGAATTTTTTTAGGATAATCAAATTTTGGAGACTTTGGGGGAAAAAAAGATAAATAAGACAGAGTCCTGCTCTGGGACACAGGGTGGCTTTGCCTGAGTGCTGGAATGACAGTGTACACCACCATTGCTCAGCAGACTCAAATTTAAACTGCCTAATGCTGGTACCACTCCTAAATTCCTTTAGGCTGGGTTGACTGATACTCTGACCTTCCTTTCCATGTGGAAAGGCAGCCCAGACTGCTACAGACTCACCTCTCAATCTCAACCTTCCCACGCATTCACTGGATTTTTGCACCTGGAAAATGAGGTCCACAGCACCCACTCTGACAGCACTGGCAAGATGTCAATAAAGAAACACCCACAGCCATGGTCAGTAAAATGACAACCTGCCATGTGACCCCTTTGTCCAACTACAGTCTTCTCCTGTGTGTAGTAAGAACACTGATACCCTAGAAAACAGGGCCCGTTACAGGCCCAGCATTACTACTCACTAGACGTGTCACTCTGAAAACTCTATTTTCTAGACATACTTGACTTCATAGGTATGAAGCAGGTTCAAATGAGAATTTAAGTTCAAGTGTTTTATGACCAAGTGGGCATCAAGAAGTTTGTTTTTAGAGGGGCTTATGGTACAGTGGGGGAAACTCTTTGACATTAGAGCTCTGCAACTCAGAACTTAGGCTAGGCTATGTCAGTCATGTGCAGTATGTAGGTAAAGGAATCAGTTTAAAATTTCCCAGGTGGTGGTGGTTTGAAAGAAAATGGCCTCCAAAGGGAGTGGCACTATTAGGAGGTGTGGCCTTGTTGGAGGAGTTGTGGTCTTGTTAGAGGAAGTATGTCACTGTGGAGGTGGGCTTTGAGGTCTCATATATGCTCAAGCCATGCCCAATAAGACAGACCACTTCCTGTTGCCCATGAGTCACGATGTAAGAACTCTCAGCTTCCTCTCTCCAGCACCATGTCTACCTGCATGCTACCTTGCTTCCCTCCATGATAATAATGGACTAAATCTCTGAACTGTAAGTAAGCCACTCCATTAAAGAGTGGCACACAGTTTCCTTCTGCTGCCTACAGGTCAAGATGAACTCTCAGCTACCTCTCAAGTACCATGTCTTCCTCCATGCTGCTATGTTTTCCATTGGGGTGATAATAGACTAAACCTCTGAACTATAAGCTACCCCATTAAATGTTTTCCTTTATAAGAGTTGGCCGGGCGGTGGTGGCACACGCCTTTAATCTCAGCACACGGGAGGCAGAGGCAGGCAGATCTTTGTGAGTTCGAGGCCAGCCTGGTCTACAGAGTGAGCTCCAGGAAAGGTGCAAAGCTACACAGAGAAACCCTGTCTCAAAAAGCCAAAAAAAAAAAAAAAAAAAAAAGAGTTGCCGTGGTCATGGTGTCTCTTCACAGCAATAGAAACCCCACCTAACTGCAGTTACTCAGAAGGCAGAGATGGCATCTCTGGAGCAAGTTGGCTAGCCAATTTAGCCATCAGTCAACTGAGAGACCCTGCCTCAATGAATAAGCTGGGAAAAGTTTAAGGGAGATCCCCAACATTGCTCTGGCTTCCATGTGCACCCATACACAGGTGAGAATGTATATACACAAGCACAATCACCTCACCACCACCACTACACCTACACACCTACACCACACACACACACACACACACACACACACACACACACACACGAAAAGCTATACAGAAATGTGCTTACAGTAGTAAGTGGCAGGTAGCACACACTAGTAAGCATTCCATGCCTACTATAATAACCCTCAGGAGAATAGGTACACAGTAAAAGAGGTTGGTACCTCAGATCTGTAAATGGAGTAGACTTAACTGCAACTAAGGATTAGAAACACACAGATTTAGACTCAGTTAATAAACAGTCCCTAGAAAAGTGTCGACCAGAATAATACGCAGGGCCCAATGATTCAAGAGAGCAGAGAAGAAGTAAGCTTGCTAAGACCACACAGATGCATAGATAGAGGGGCCAGGCTTTTCTCTGTCTCACTGTGCAATAGGGAGCCAATCAACTCCCTAAACCAGGCACTGTATTTTCAAGGGCAAAGGACTGAGAATGTAGCTCACTGGACCACTACTTACTTGCCTAGCATGCAGGAGGCCTTAGGGTCAACCCCCAGGAACAGAAGAAACAGCCTTAGGCAGGCAGGCCTGGTGGAGAACTCCTGCAATCCGAGCACTTGGCAGTGGGAACAAGAGGGCTGCTGCAAGTGAGGCCAGCCTGGGCTAAAAAGATACAGTTTCAAAAAACAAAGCAAAAAACAAAACAAGAATACATAATGTGTTGAATCCAAACTTAATTTTCCAGGTCTAATATTTATTTTTTAAGAGTTCTGTCTGTGAAGAGACTACAGCAAGTGATTTAAATATATAGTGGGAGTTTTTAGAAAAAAAAGTAGAATAACTCATGAAAACAATAAACTCAAACTCCACAACAAGTATCAGTTTAAAACATGATAATGAGGGGGCATAAAGAAATAAAACAACTAACAGTGGCAGACCAAGTGTGGTGGCCCATGCCTGTAATCCCAGCACTAGGGAAGCTGAGGCAGAGGGACTGCTGTGAAGTGAAGGCTAGCCTGGGGTACAGAGAGCCCCTGCTTCAAAGAAGTAACAAATCAAATTCTCCTTGAAAGCCTCACTTGGGCCAACAAGAGGGCTTGGCGGGTGAAGTGTTTGCTGAGCAACCCCGACAGCCCAAGTTCGATCCCTGGAACCCACATAAAGGGAGAAGGAGAGAACCAACCCCACGAAGCTGCCCTCTGACCGCCACCCACACCCACCAAGCATGCACACAAGGATAGTCTCTGTTTTTAAAGGCTTTCTGGCAAGCCTCACCATCAGGCACCGAGCAGATGCTGATTAGGTAAACCACTAACTGCCTGCAAACTGCTGCTCCCAGGTCAGGCTCTCTGCAAGCCCCTGGCCCGTTAAACAGCTCTGGGCTTGCTGGAGCCCAGACCAGTCCACATGACAAGTGTTAAGAAGCTGCACTTGCCACTTCCATCCTTGCTTAGGATCTAGGAAACCACCTGCCTGTCTCCTCTTAGCTTTAGTTAATCCTGCTTACCCGTATTTTCCAAGTTTTTTACACTAACTCTTAATCATACTGTCACTGGGGGGGCAGGGGGGAGGCTTGGTTTTTGAAACAGGGTCTCACTTTGTCACCAATACTGGCTTGGAACTCACCATGTAGCCCAGGCTTGAATCAAACTCACAGCAATCCTCCTGCTTCAGCAAAGCTTTTAGAAAAGGGTTTTTAATGTCGATGGCACTCTGGCAAAAATGGTGACCATTTCTAAAACTCTCCCAACTTTCTGTAAGACTGTGGCAAGCACCACAGTGACACAGTGCCTCTCTGTGTGACCAGGAAAGTGGAATTCTGGCAGCAAGTGGGCAGACTAAGCCTATTTTCTAGAAAAAGACTACAAGTGTAAGAAGACTGCTGAGGGGTGACTGTTTTGAGCCTGTCAGCAGAGCTAAGGCAGAGAGACCTGGCTTGGAAGAGAGCCGGGGGAGGGGGGAGGAGAGGAGGAGAGAGAAGAGGAGGAAGGGTTCTGCTCTAAGATGAGAAAAGAAGACAATAAAACCATGAGGTTCTATTCATTTGAAAAAGAAAACGACAACAGGTTGATCTGGAATCTAAGTGAAGGAGACTCCACCTGCACGGGGTGGGGTGGGGTGGGGGGTGGGTGGGTGTGCTTTCAGGACAGTGGGAGCCGCAGAAAATGTTGTTGACATGGTGTTTGGAGGGTTTGCTGCTGCTGTGCTCAGGATTAAGGGCTCCTATGCACAGCAGAATGGGAATTCTATCCTTAAGCTTCTAAAAGTTTAATGTGCAAATGAGTTAGTTCCCTGGGGACGGAATCAAAAGGCAGAATTTGGGCTAGGATGTAGCTCAGAAGGTAGAGTGCTGGCCTTGCATGAAGCCTTGGGTTTGATCTCTAGCACTGTTCAAACCAGGTGTGGTAGCCCACACCTGTAATCCCAGCACTTGGAAGACTGAGGCAGGAGGACTGCTGTGAGTTTGAGGACAGCCTGAGCTACATAATGTGTTCCAGGCAGTGCTGGGATAAGAGTAAATCCCTTTCTAAAACAAAACAAAACACAGCCGACTTTGATTTAGAAGGTCTAAGGCGGAGGTCCGGATGCCGGTCCTGACCTTCAATACACCTGATTCCACGGGAATCAACACTCCATCCTGGTATTCTGACCTATCAACAACGGCCACTGAACAGAGCTGGGCAGAGCTGGACAGACAATAGCTGGAAAGCAGGACTGGCCAGCTCACACACCGACTTCTACGTGTTTAAATTCCCAGTAGGCAGAAGCTGCTGGTCCTCCTAGGTAACAGTGAAGTCAGTGAAGGTTTGTGGGGGTGGTCTGGGACAAACAGCCCAGGTGCCTACTTAACATGTCAAAGTTGGACCTGGCCACCAGGTTCTTCCGGCATCCCTCAGTCCCTACCTGTTACGGGGTATGACTTGCATACCCTGCCCTCTACCCTGAACTCTCCAGTCCAGGGGCTGGACTGCCCTTCCCCCAAAGGCTCTTCCCTATATAATCCAGACATTTTGGCTACCCTTCCCTTTTGGACCTTTGACCTCCTGGCTGCTGCACCTGGCTCCCCTCTCTCCCCTCTCCCTTCTCCTCCCCTTCTCCCATATAGTCCAACTCAGTCAGGTCATGTCTACTCTGGACTCTTCTAGATATCCCTACCTCTGACCATGCTCTCCCACATATCTATAATAAACTTTCTCTTCCACCATATCTAGGAGTAGTCGTGTCCTTTTCTTTCCTTTTTATCATTCAGGGGTGAGCTAAAATGTTGGCATCACTTAAGACTACAGTTTCTACACTGTTCACGTAACAGGCCACCTAATACTCTTTGGGGGCTTAAACTGTACCAGGTAAGATACTGTACCCACTACACCCCAGCAGTACCCTTCCCTACAGTCACAATCAAAAACATCTCCAGGGCTGGAGAGATGGCTCAGTGGTTAAGAGCAGCTAAGTTTGATTCCCAGCACCCACGATGCCGCTTACAACTATCTACAACTCCAATTCCAGAGGATCTGATACTCTCTTCCAGCCTCTGTGGACAACCCATGCACATGGAGCAGACATCCGTATAGGCGAGACACCCATATACATAAATTAAAAATAAACCAATTAAAAAGAAAATCCTCTTTGAGGCCAGCCTGGTCTACAGAGTGAGATCCAGAGAAACCCTGTCTCAAAAAACCAAAAAAGAAAATCCTCCAGGTATTGCCAAATGTCTCCTGGAGTGCAAACTATCCCTGGTGAGGCCCCCTAATGGAGGTTTGCCTCTAAGAACAAGGGGGATGAAAGAAGGTATAATTTTCCGTGGAAATAAAGAGATGAGATGCTGGGGAATGGCGTGAACAAAATGTCAGACAGCTCTTAGACTGGAGAAAACTAAATACTGGGACAGACGTAGGGCTGGGAAAACAAGTACCACCACCTGCTGCAAAGCCCGACTACCCTAGCCCAATCCCAGCACCCACGCAGGAAAAAGAGAACCACCTCCTACAAGTTACCTTCTGACCTCCATGTGGATGCCTGTGCCCCTCCCTGCCCTACCCCCATAAAAATATGTTAAAAAATTATATTAATCTTTTCAAAGTTTAAACCACTAGAAGAGTTCTAGAAAAGGCTTTAAGAGAACTACGGAACCCAAGTGTGGTGCACACCTATGATTCAAGTCTTGGGAGGTAGAGGCAAGAGGATCAGGAGTTCAATGTCATCCTCAGCATCCTCAACTAGGTAGTAAGATTAAGGTCAGACTGGGCTACATGATAGCCTATTTCAATGAAGAAAAGCATCACACACACCCCCAAAAAAAACCCAAACCAAACAAACAGCAAATAGAAAGAAAGAGAGGGGGGAGGGGAGAGAGGGGGAAGGGAAGAGAGAAAAGGGGAGGGAAAGCAAAGTTGTGGGGGCAGGTCTGAGTGTGGTGGGGCACACCCGCAGTGCTGGGATCCGGGAGGCTGAGGTAGGAAGATCACCAAAGGTTCAAAAGCTATATACCAAGAACCTGTCTCAAAATAAAACAAAACACAAAACAACAAAAGCAGGGGGGAGAAAAACCAATGAGAATGGGGACAGAGCAGGGGGTAAAAGGCTGGCCTAGCATGCTGGAAGCCTGGGGTTTGATCCCCAGCACCACAAACACACCAACAAAGTAAAGATACTCAATTTGAGTCAAGCAAAGTGGCACAGTCCTGCAATAATGCATTTGGGAGGCAAATGCAAGCAGATCTCTGTAAGTTCAAGGCCACTTTGGCCTACGCCAGTTCCAGGCCAGCCAAGGACTACACTAAAAGACTACCTCAAACAAAAACAAAAGCCCCAGCCGGGCAGTGGTGGCGCACGCCTTTAATCCCAGCACTCGGGAGGCAGAGCCAGGCGGATCTCTGTGAGTTCGAGGCCAGCCTGGGCTACCAAGCGAGTTCCAGGAAAGGAGCAAAGCTACACAGAGAAACCCTGTCTCGAAAAAACCAAAAAAAAAAAACAAAAACAAAAACAAAAACAAAAACAAAAACAAAAAACAAAAGCCCCAGTTTGGAGTACAGCTGCCCTGACAGAAAATGCTCAGTTGCTGCAAAGTAAAGACACAAGATATTTCCAGCACTCAGGAAACTGAAGCAGGAGAATTATTCCGAGTTCAAGGCTGGCCTGGGTTGCATGGGAAGACCAAACAACAGTGAAAGCCATCAAGTGTAAGAATATAAAAAGAGCCAGGTGGTGGTTGGGTGGGGGTGCACACCTTTAATCCCAGCACTTGGGAGGCAGAGGCAGAGGCAGAGGGATCTCAGTGAGTTCTAGGCCAGCCTGGTCTACAAAGTTCCAGGACAGCCATGACTGTTACACAGAGAAACCCTGTCTGGGAAAACAAAACAAGAATATAAAAAGAGGCTGGGTGTGGTAGCATACTCCCAGGGTAAGAAGGCCAAGATCTCAGTGAATCCAGACTAGACTGGTCTTTAACAAGTTCAAGGCCAGCCAGGGATATATAGTGAGACCCTATGCCCTCTCTCAAAAAAAAAAGGGGGTTGGGAGAAATACGGTGACACAGCTGAGACACCAGTAATTCAGAAGAGGAGGCATGAAGATACTGAGCTCCATCCAGCTTGGGCTAAAAACAAAAACCAAAACCCTGTCATGTCCTCAAAATGGAGGTGAAGGCTGGAGAGATGGCTTTGAAGTTAAGAGCACTTACTGCTCTTGCAGATTTCGGATCTGGGTTCAGTTCTCAGCACCTCACAATCAGGCAGCTCACAACCACCTCTAACTCCAGTTCTAGGAGATCTGATGCCCTCTTCTGGTCTCTGCACACATGGTACACATAAATGTGCGCGCGCGCGCGCACACACACACACACACACACACACACACACACACACACACGTAAGTAAAAATAGACAAGTAAACCTTTTTCTAAAAGGGTGTGTGAGATGGCTCAGTGGTAAAAATACTCGCCACACAAGCATAAGGGCCTGAGTTTGATTCCCAAGAATCCACATAAAAGCTGGACACACAACAGGAGCACCCGTCGTCCCAGCACTCCTACCTACAGAAGGATGGGAGGCCAAGAATCCCTCCCGGTGCAGGACCAGCTAGCCTGCCATATTCCGAGGAAAAAGAAGACAGACCCTGTCTCAAACAAGGTGGGAAGTGAGGACTAACAAGCCAAGGCAGGGGGCTAGGGGAGGCTGGAACTTTGACCTGGGTATGAAGGCACAAGTTTGGAATCCCTGATCTCAGGAGGACAGGAGGGGAGTTAAGAGTTCTAGGCCAGCCTGGGCTACAGGGAGGAAGGGGAGCGGTGGATAGAGAAAGAGTGTGAGTTAGCTATTACTTGTATTGTTAGCATCTTTTTTTAAATTTTCTTTGACTACAAGACACTGTCACACAAGCCTATAATCCCACTAGTTAGAAAACAGACACAGGAGTGTCAAGAGTTCAAGGTCATCCTCCCTTACAAATTGGGAGGTCAGTCTGGGCTTCAAGAAAACCAGTCTCAAAAACACACACACACAAAGTCATTTTGATGAAAACAGAACACAGAGCGCCCACCTGATAAGAGCTTATCTGTTAACGAGTTCAAGATACTGAACTCTCAGTGTGAGCAATAACTTCAGCTGAAAGAGCAGGAGAATGATGGAGCCAAGTCACACCTTTCTAACACTCCAAAAATCACAGCATAATAGGAGCTGAGTGCAGAGGCTCACATCTCTAACCTCAGCACCAGGGAGACCGAGGCAGTAGGACTGCTTCAAGTTCTAGGCCAGCCTTGGTCTCAAAAAAAAAATACAAAGACACCATGGAGGAAAGGAAAATAAGGAGTCAATAAACCAAAAGACAGCAAGCGAACAAGGCATACAGCTCAGTGGTGTGAAGTGCTGGCCCAGAATGCACAAGGCCCTGGGTTCCAAGTAGGAGAGAAGGGGAGGGGAACGTGTGATGTGAATCCTCAGTGCTGCTGCCAAGGGCGACAGGTTCCTAAGAAGCAAACTGACATCAAGCTGCTTATCCCACCCTAACAGTAAACTTTCCTGCTGGTTTTTATCTAAGCTAATCTTGTGATTAAAACACAAGAAGCTGTCCTTAACTCACCAGTCTAAGGGGTTTAGAGATAACTCAGGGTCCACTCCGATTCCAGAGCATGTTTGCAGAGACTGTATTTTTCACTCACTAAAACCCTGGAGAGCCTATACATAGTTTGGTCTGTCCTTTGTACAGATGACCAACTGGGGAAGGCAGGGAAAGCATGGTAGGTTTTAAATAGCTCCCGAGTGTCGGGGGAGGATAGCGCCTCTCAACTACATTAAACATCTTTTAAGGGAAGGCAGAATGCCTCCACGAATTCAAAAGAAAAGAAGCCATCCTACATTGAACTCACCAAGAGGAAGAAGTTATTAATACTCTCCCGAAATGTAAAAGTTATGCTCCACATATTAAGTTCCTTCAACCCAACCAGTGTGTGCCTTCAAGCATTTCATCCTACCTAGCCTGAGCAAAAAGGGCAACAGTTATCAAGCATTCAGAGCTTATCATCTGTCAGCCTGGGGCAAAATCTCTGGGAATACCAGTAAATGTCATCACTCTGCAGGTCGTCCGTCCGTCAGGAATCATGCTACTGCAGCCAGCCACAGCCTGGGAGTGCCAAGCCTTCCCAAAATAGCTATGACTTTATACACAATGCTCATCAAACACCTCACATACAAACCCTCCAATAGGGAGTGCTGAAAGAGGGGTCACTACTCAGACTGTGGCAGAGGTAAACGAAGATGCCACTGATTAAAAGCCATGTGGTCTTAAATGACGGAGCCCGGAACAAATTTAAATATGACTTGCTCTCCCTTAAAATAGTATCAATACGACTGTCTCAAAACCAAATCTCACCACCTGTTTTTAAGTCACTGTCCCCCAAACAAGTAAGATTTATTCTCTGAAAAAAAAAGAAAAAAGAAAAAACAGAAAAATATGAACCCTACCATCCAAAAGACATTGGTGAGTATCTAACAATGCAATTTTATCTGATCACAGAAAAAAACCATCCACCTACTTTCATTTCCCAGCCCAAGTCTTAGAGATATCTTTTTTTTTTTCTGCACAAATTTTAAAGAGCTTCCTATGTTTTAAATTCCTAGTCTGGGAGTGTAGTACTTGTCCCACTTCATGTGATAGGCTCCAGGCTTGACCCCCATCACGTCAAATTAATTAAAACTAAGAAGATATAAGGGGTTTCTTAGCAGTAACTGACTTTCGTATTCTAAATATTTTATGAACTTTCTCGCTTAAAAGCACGGTATTTGAATACTTGGTACAGATTTTCCATTCTGTCTTTTAAAAAGTGCAGTTCCTGAGGGGTGAGGATGTAGTGTTACTTTGTAACCCAAGATGACAGTCTCAAATTGCCCACCTTCCAAGTTTCTTCAAGAGACATTATTAGCCTTTTATTAATGTTCTCCAAGCCAGCGTTTGTGAACCCTCACCATCTCAGCCCAAAGATCCTTGTAATGTTTTTCAACCTTCTTAAATATTAGGAACCTAATCGGTGTGCCTTTTTATTCATTGTGCTGTTCCTCTCCCCTCCTTCAAAATCTATAGTGATCAATGAGGTAATTGGGGAAGCTGATTTGTTTCCGAAAGAAAAGGAAGAACTGAACGAAAAGCCGGGCGGGAAGAGGGAGGAGTGGGGCTCCAGGTCTTGTTTGCACTTTGTTGATAAACGCCGGCTTTAAGTGAGATAACTTGAGTCTGCTTAAGCCTCTGGGAAGCCACTGCCATAAAACTGATTTGAGAGTCAGAACAAGGCACTGCAACCGAGCTTTTTGGAAGTTTGTAGCTCCTAGGTAGGGCCGGGCGCACACTTCGGGGTGACCCCGATGCCCACGACCTCACGTGCAACCCCTCTCGGTAGGGTCCCCAGCAACCGGGTCCCGCACTCGATCCCGCTCGGAACCTGAGTTGGCCCATACAACCAGGCAACCTCACATCGGCACGCGACCCCGGCCTCGCAAGTCCCCGGCGACCCGGGGGTGCTCCCGCCCTCAGCCCACAGGCCCCGGCCTCCGCCGGCCCGCGCCCGCTTGGCCCGCCGCGCCCCTCTCGGCCGGAGCTCGGGCCCCGCTACCCTCACCCGCCGCTCACCGAGCCATGGCCGTCCGCCGCCCCTGCCGCGTCGTCCTGCTGCAGCTCCGCAGTCATGGCCGTGGCGCCCCTCTGCGCGTAGCCCTACTCTCGTCGTCTTCTTCGTCGTCGTCGCCGCCGCCGCCGCCGCCGCCGCAGCCCCCGAAGCCCCGGAGTACCGGGAGGCGCCGCCCACACGTCCCGCCCCCGCCCGCGGCGCGCGCTGGAGGCCCCGCCCACACCAGCCCGCTCCCAACACTCCCCCCCCCACACCCGCAGCACGCGGCACAGGCTCCGCCCACGGCGCGCGCGGGAGGCCCCACACCCACACCCCCGCCCGCTGGCTCCCATCCCTCCAGCCGCTGGCGCCGGTGGCCCCGCCCACACGCCCCACCCTCACACCCGAGGTCCCCCCTGAGGCCCCGCCCACACACTCTGTCACGCCCGCAGCGTGCGCCAGAGGCCCGCCCCCGGCTTGCGTGAGCCCAGGGCGGAGCTTCTCCGCGTGCTTCGGCCCACGTGACCGCAGCCGGGCACTGACTAGCGGGTCAGCGTCGCGTCGCCCGCAGTTGCCACTTCCGCATTTGGTGCCCAGGAAGTGGGCGGCGAGGCCTCTCGGTCTCCAGGACTCCCTCTTTCTCCATCCTACGATGGCCGAGCCTCGCATCCGCGTCCGGCCCGGCCCCAGGTCTCCATAGGCCCTGCGAGGCTGGCTGCTGGGTTCCCTGTGCTGACAGACTTTTCAACCAGGCCTTCGAGCCATTTCTTAGTCTGGGGACGCGAGGAGAGACATAGGCTGACTCCAGTGATCTCTGTAAAGACAACTGAGCCTGAGCGGGCCAGGACACTCACAGAGCTCAGCATGGTATCTTTGATCTTAAACAGGGTTGCCAAATGTGCTAATTGCCCGTTTTCAGGCCCTGTGTGTGTAAGCTGTGTGGAGCCTAGTGCACTAAGCCACACCCCACCCCTCTTAATGTTTGGGAGGAGGGTTTTATTGTTGGTGGTTTAGGTTTGGAGTTTTGAGACAGGACCTCACGTGGCTAATAATAGTAGCCTCAGTAGTAGCCAAGGCTGACCTTGAACTCTTGATCCTCTGTCTCCACCTGGTCGTGTATGATGGGAAGTCTGTACTGTCATGCTCAACGATGTTTTACTTTGAGACAGTCTCATTAAGTTGCCCCGGGTGACTTTGAACTTTCTGTGCTTCCGCCTTAGTCTCCTATGTGCCTGGGAATTGGGAACTGTGCTTACCAGGTCCATCTTTGTCAGGATTCTCTGAGGAAGAGAACCATTACGCTTTATAAAGTTACAAAGGGATTGGTTAGGTTGACTTACACAATCAAAGATGAGGTGTTTCCAGTGTCTGCACACATGGGAGAGCCAAATCCCAAAACAGAAGCTGCCTTGGCAGGTGTAAGCCATCTACTGTATGGGTGCTGGGACTCAAACCCAGGGCCTCTGCAAGAGCATTATATGCTTTTAACGACTGAATCATCTCTCCAGCCCCCAGAAGAGCCATTTTCTTCGGTGATGTAGTCAGTAAGTTGTTCTTGTGCCTTTAAGTAACCCCTTACTCATTCCCATGTAAGCAGCCCTGACAGAGCTCTGTGGGTCACTGTTGTGGAGCCATTTCCTTCAGAAGGAAACCTACTTTGGAGGGTAGCTCCTTAAGTTCAGGAAGTAAACAACTCAAAGGCTTCGGATAGCTTCAGAAGCTACCTGAAACTGACCAGATTGGCTAGGTCCCACCCTCCCCAAGCATGTATAAACAGAACTGCTAAGAGATGCTCTCAGGTAAGCTGAGCTGCCTGGAAAGAGACCCACTCCAACTGTCAAGCTGCCTGCAAGGTGTACAGTGTGCTTCAGGTTTCCAGCTTTATTGGACGGTCACCCATGCTGGCATGGGCTTTATTGGTGAGTTATTTCTGCTCCTATAAGTGCCCCTCACTCACACTCCTGTAAGTAACCCCAATAAAACTCAGAGGTTTGCCAAGTGTGACTTTGGTATTCTTGCTATGGTCTGTCATCAGTTCTCTGTGTGGCATGTCTGTTTACATCTCCCTAGAAATAGTGACACACAGTACCACTGAAAGAATGGTAAGACATGAAATTAGGAGGAGGGCTTGTTGTAAAAAAAAAAGGGGGGGGTTCAGTGAGAGTGGGAGAAGAGAGGGTAATAGGGTGACTATGGTCAAAACACATAGTATACATCAATGATAGTGTTAGAGCTGGGGAAGGCTGAGCATAAATGACCCATGCTTTTAATCCCAGCACTCAGGAGGCAAAGGCAAGTGGATCTCTGTGAGTTCAAGGCCAGCCTGGTCTACATAGTGAGTTCCAGGACAGCCAAAGCTACACAGTGAGACTCTTGTCTCAAAAACCAAAAACAGGGGAGTTGGGTTGAGATTGAAAGGAGGGCTGGGTGTGGTGGTGCATACCTATAATCCTAGCACTTCGGAAACTGAGGCAAGAATTGATATGCATTTGAGACTGGACTAGAACTAACTATATAGTGAGCCCAAGGCTAGCCTGGGATACATAAACAAAAGCCAATCTCGACAAAGAATGGACAGATGGCAACAAACAAGAAAGATATGCACTGGAGTTCAAAGTAAGGCCTCTATGAACAGTTTTTATTAAGATAACGTGTCACTGTGTTTCCTAGGCTGGCCTTCAACTCTTGATCCTACTGCCCCAGCCTCCCACTGCTGAGATTACAGGCCTCTGCCATCAGCCCTGGCAGAAACAGGCTTTTGTTGGAAAAAAATACACATACTCAGATTGAAAAAATACATCACCTTCAGAATTGAGCACATTCCTGAGTGTGCTCAATTTGAGCTCATACAACATGTTCAAAACAATGGCAGAGGTCTGAGAGATGGCTCAGTTGTGTAGAGGCTCTTACTGCCAAGCCTGAGGACATGAGTTAGAGTCCCAAGACCTTCATGATGGAAGGAGAGAACAGACCCCTGCAAGCTGCCCTCTGAGCTCCACACACTTGTTATGGCACACAGCACATAATCCCACACACATCCACAAAAATGAATAAATGTAATAATAAAAATTCTCTGTCTCTCTCACACACATAGGGGAGTGCACAAAACCCTCCCCCACCCCAAACACACACACAGGCAGACAGGAAAGCCTCTGGGTAGAGAATTTAGTATTATAATGAGCAAAGTTTATCCTAGGACTCATAAAAAGAGTAAATCCAAATGAACCAGCTATTTTTAGTTGGCTCCTTGTTTCTCAGGAGGCCGTTATCTGAAATAACAACAGTGAACACTTTTGAAGACTCCGTAATCAGTCCTTTACAGGGGCAGCAGCCTTCCCTCTCCCCATACCCTACCCTTGAAGCATGGGTATTTACCTCTAAAAGTACCTGCCTACAGGCTAACAAAGGCTCCAGAGATCAACCACAGTTTTGAAAAGGAAATCAAAACAGAAACCAAAGTTCTACAAAGGGCGCGTGCCCTCTTTGTAGCTTTACTCAAAAACAGCAGGCCACAGTCTCAGTATCACTAGTGGTTGAAAAAGCATCCAGCCCTCTAGCTTTAGGAACTGTGAACCAAGGCTTAAAAACAGACACACACACAAGTGAGGGAGGTATGTAAGCCAATGAGAAAGACAGAAAACTACAAACCAGATCCACCGATGCTATAGACTATGAGAAGAATGGCTGACCATGGTGCCATCACCCTGCAGTCCTAGCACTGGGGAAGCAGAGGCATGAAGATTCCTGCAAATTTCAAGCTAGTGTGGATGGGCTAAATAGTGATACCTGATCATCCCGAACTTTATTAAGACCCTGTTTCAAAACAAAAAAAGAAAGAAAGGAAAAGAAAAAGAGTATATGTATAAATCCCAATAACTACTAAGTAAAAAAGCAAAACCTGTAACTATAAAGCTAATAGGTAATAAAGAGAGAAATGTAGACAAATCAAAGGCAGGAGTTTAGGGATATAGCTCCCTTAGTAGGCTTGCCTAGCAAGTAGGAGGTCCTAGGCTTGATTCTTAGCACGCTATAAACAGTGCAGATATACAATGTACCTCGGTTAGCTGGAGTGCTTGCTTAGTAGGCAGGATGCCCTGGGTTCAAACTCCAGCACCTCCTAAACCAGGCATGATGGTGTGCTGTGCCTGTAATCCAACACTGAGGAAGTGGAAGAAGGAAGATCAGAAGTTCAAGGTCATCCTCAGCTGTGTACTGAGTTTGATGTCAGCCTACTTAAAAAAAAAAAAATCAAAAGAAGAAGAAAAAACAAAAGCACTAAGAAGCAAGCTTGAGCCTGGTGGTGGTGATGTTTTAATCCCAGCACTCGGGAGGCAGAGGCAGGCAGATCTCTGTGAGTTCAAGCCTAGCCTGGTCTACAGATCAAGTACTAGGACAGCCAGGGCTACACAGAGAAACCCTGTCTGGAAAAATCAAAAAAGCAAAAACAAAAAACAAACAGCAAGCTGGAAAGCAGATAAGATGAGAGATCTTAATCTGTTAATGACAATAATTACTTTAAATATTAATGAATCAAACATTCTAATTAAAAGGAAGAGCTTAATGAATTGGCATTTAAAAAGCAAGAACTTACAACAGTTTTTTTTGCTGGGAAATTGACTTCTTGGGAACACGGCTAGTCTGCTGGTTAAGTCCTGATTCTCAGTTTTATTTACCTTTGACCACAGAAGATAATGATCTTTAACCCACCACCTTAGAGGCTCTCTACATTCACACAAAGCTTTTAACTGCTGGTTAATTGTTTTCCGTTTTTCCTTATTTTTTCCCAGAGCTTTAGTTAGGTTAAACCAGGACACTCGATGTCTTTTAAAGACCACTCCTGTAATCCCAGTACTCAGGAAGTGGAGGAAGGAAGATCTGAAGTTCAAGGCCAATGGGGCAGTGGTGGTGCAAGCCTTTAGTCCCAGCACTTGGGAGGCAGAGGCGGGCGGATCTCATTGAGTCCAAGGCCAGCTTGGTCTACAGAATGAGTTCCATAACATCCAGGACTACATAGAGGAGCCCTGTCTCGAAAAACCAAAGTAAATAAATAAATAAATAAATTAAAAAAAAAATGAAGTTCAAGGTCATCCTCAGTTATTAATTTTGAAGCTGGACTA